ATTTTTTTGGGGGGTTCGAGACAGGGTATCACTATGTAGTTGAGACTGATCTGGAACTCACTGTGTAGCCCAGGCTGGTCTCGAACTCACAGCGATCCTCCTGCCTCAGCCTCCCGAGTGCTGGGATTACAGGCATGTGCCACCATGCCCGGCTTAAATACAGATTTTTTAATCTGGGAAATTACTAATTTATCCAACAATCCAAAGGCCTTTTTTCTTTTTTTTTAATTATGAGTAAGTCTAGGGCTGGGGATTTAGCTCAATGGTGCTACCGCCTGCCTCTCAAGCTCAAGGTCCTAAGTTTAATCCCTTGTACAAAGAAAAAAAGAAAATTATGAATAAGTCTAAAGTAACTTGTTAGTACATATATATAGTGTGGGAGAAGGGTTATAAGCACAGAACTGGAATATTTTGTTTTAATTCAAACAACTTTTACCTAAATATATAATTTTATAAAGCTCCCTCATAAAAATGATCAGTGCAAAAATGGTTTTGAAAAATTACTGGCAAAATGTTAAAGAATTATTGAAAACAGAGGCTCACAGGAAAGTCCTTATCCAGGTCACTGATCTGAATAGCAAAGTTGTCTGGAAACACTCCTTCCTTCCCATTCAGTTCCCCCTTCCACCAGCCGGACTCTCCAGTCTCCTAAAGAGCAAGGAAGGCAAAGGCCAATTAAAACAGTGCGAGTGAACATAAAAAGTAGGAAAAACACTAAATTCCATTATCTTTACAAGAGAAAAAAACCTAAGCAGATCATAAGGTCCTTCTGCAAGAAACAGTCCCTACATATCACTTGTTTTTTTGGTACCAGGGATTGAACTTGGGTGCTTGAGCTTGCAACGCAGGCCACCGAACCGCTGAGCTAAATCCCCGGCCCTACATATCACTTTTAACAGCAGTTACAAAACTGGGTTACATTTTTAAAAATAACTCAAGCTTTGAAATTTCATCTACAAGGTTAAAAGGTTCTTAGGGGGAAGAAAGACAGAAGGAAAAGGAGTGAAAAAGAAGGTAAAGAGAGAAAGGATATGAATTTCTAAACTCAACATTCTTCTTAACACTTTACACTAAAAAGTACTTATTTAGCAGCCCGGAAAATTAGCAAGTTCTTCCAAGCTCCTTCCAAAGACCCACCTTCACCCTTACTCTCATCTACCCTTACCGGAAAAGCTAGGTGTCATCAGCCCAAACTCAAAAATATTAAAAATCACAACATGTGACTCATGGTAAACAGATTCTCCGTGCTTTAACACATGAGTAACTGAGACCACGTATATTCACTGGTTCACTATAATAATTTTTACTATTTGTGTTTTATAAACATTATATATTTTAAATATAATTTAAAATTATTTTTTAGAAATTACTTATACTAAGCCATCTGAAAAAAAGTCAGTTTAAAACAATGAGAAAAACTTGTTTAACATTGTTCTACAGGACTATAACAAAATATTTATAATGTTCTGACAAACAGTTGTTACCATTCTTCTGTATCCAAATACTATGAGGTTTTCCTCTTCTTCGGTCTTAGAGTTCTCTCCAAGATATAAAATAATTTCATACGTTGAAATAACTACATTATTTTCCACGGGCTGAACTTTTATGACACATATTGATAGACATTTAGGTTATTTCCCTATTTTTCTTCTTTGAATGTTATAAACAATGCTCTAAACAAATAAATTGGGGAAATGCCATAAAAGTGAGGATAAAAATCCCAGGGTCAATAAAGAGAAAAATCAATGAGATCACTAACCAACTTCCAATCTATCAGTTATGACAAAAATAAAAGTTAGCTTAAAAAATAAAACTTTCCAGCCAAGTATAGTGGCATATGCCTGGAATCCCAGCACTAAGGAGGCTGAACCAGAAGGCTGCCATGAGTATGAGACCAGCCTGGGCTGCATAATGACTATAAGGCCAGCCTGAACACACAGCAAAATCCTGTCTCAAAAAAACAAAAACAAAACAACTTGCCAGGGATTTAGCTCAGGGGCACTGCACATGGCTGGCAAGCACAAGGCCCTGAGTTCATTCCCCGGTACTAAAAAAAAAAAAAAAAAAAATCTTTCTGTACACTTATGTACCAGGTTCCCTGGACCCAGAAACAAACAAAAGTCTCAGTTTTTCCAGAACTTACATTCTAGGGACAATGTAGAATTCTGAAAAATATTTCTACAAGTAAGTTAAATGATTCACTGAAAAGAAATCCTTACCTTACTTATCAAACGAATTATCTCGCCTTCTTTAAAAGTAAGTTCATCTTCATTAGAACCTTCATAGGCAAATAATGTTCTACAATATTCCTTAGCTGAAAAAGAGAATGGAAATAAGTTTATAGAAATTGATCAATTCAGTAAATACTTACCATGCCTCTATTTTATGTAAAGTAAAATATACAAGCAGCTATTAAAAATAATTCAAATGTATATTTTAAAACTTTGAACTTCTAGCTAACAATGTATGTTAAGAAACAATTCTAGGAGGGGGTTTCTTCAGCTGCCTGCCTGCCTGCCTGCCTGCCCGCCTGCGATCACCCGGCGGCCTGCTCGCGAGCTTCTGGCCTGCGCGACAACAGACCCAGGAAGGCCCCAAAGACCCTGGAGGGGGTTTCTTCAGCTGCCTTCCTGCCTGCCTGCCTGCGATCACCCGGTGGCGTGCGCGCGAGCTCCCAGCCTGCGCGACAACAGACCCAGGAAGG